AAGGTGGAAGCAGGAAGATCATGACGAGCAGGGGAAAGGAGGTAGGAGGAAGGAGAAGGAAGGAGGAGGAGGAGGAGGTGGAGGGTGGCAGGAGAAGGAGGAGGAGCAGGATGAGGAGGAGGACAGAGGATAAGAAGAAGGAGGAAGATGAGGGAGAGGAGGAGGGAGGAGGAGGAGGACGACGAGGAGGATGAGGAGGTGGAGGAGGAGCAGGAGGAGGAGGAGGAGGAGCAGCAGCAGGAGGAACAGGAGGAGGAGGAGGAACAAGAGGAACACGAGGAGGATAAGCAGGACGTGCACGCGGTAGCGGCTGCAGACAAGCATATGGAAAATGTCGCACGCGCGTAGAAAAAATGTGGCTCCAGTTCCTTAACGGGTTCGTGGACCCCTCAAGATTGTATATTTATTGGACCGTCTTGGCTGGCTCGCGAGCCGCATCGAAGCAATGGCGGGGCGTGCTGGGGCCGTTTGGGGGCCCTCTGGGCCTCTTTTAGGGCCCTTGGGCGCCTCTTGGGCCGTCTTGGCGCCCTCTTGGGGTTCTCCTGAACGCCTCCTGTGCCGTCTCACGGCGTCAGGCAGTGGAGCAGGCGACCTCACGAAAATCCTAGAACAAAAATTGGGTAATCCATGGCATTCGCCCCTTGGGCCGCTGTCGCAGAATGGTTTAAAGATTTTTGGGGGCGTCTTGCAGGCCACGTGGGCCGTCTTGAAGCAATGGTAGGCGTGCTGGGGGCGTTCTGGTGCCCTCAAGGCCCCTTTGAGGGCCCCATTTGGCGGGTCGAGGCTCGCTCGGGCCCCCCATGCGGCACTGAGGCACCGGTCCAGCCACCCCAGGGCCGACTCTGATATACATATGTATATAAACATAAATATATTATATATATATATGTATACACGTATACATCTATATTCGGGACGGGCGAAAGGAGGGGGATAGTAAAGGGCAGGGTTGGGGATTTGCTAACATGAGGTGGGTGCTTAAAACTTCCCAGCTAATGGTAGCACTGGTGTGGCGACTCCTTTAATTAGATCACGTGCCCTCTGCCTGTGTTCGCATGCGTGGAAGTGCGCTGGGTGCACGTGCGCCTGCCACAATGTAAATGCATTTGGTGCCCTGCCCGCGTGTTCCACCATGGCCGTGCGTTTGTTCACGCACCGATGAACGCAAAATCGATCCATGCGCGCTCAACGCGCTGAACGGGCAGCGAGCGAGAGGCACTCGCACGCGCACGCGCACAAGGACACGCGCAATCACGAAGGCTGCACGCGTGCGTGACATGAGTCAACAGGGGCGCATTTCCCAAAACACGGGCACCCCATCCCCAACCCGCTCCTCCGACCTCTTCCTGCTACTCCCCCTCTCCCACCGCACCCATACAGCTGCATGGAGCTGATCCGGCGGGAAACCAGCTACATGCAGCTCGCTTCGCGCCATACTAGCTCCAGGCAGCTAGTTCGGCGCGAAACTAGCTACATGGAGCTAGTTTCGCGCCGACCTAGCTACGTGCACGTAGTTCGGCGCCAGACCCAACTGCGCAAAGCTAGCGTTCCTCGACGCGCGCCCGACGTAGCAACGCGGAGATTCTCATATATATATATATATATATATATATATATATATATATATATTACTAAAAAGAAAACGGCCCGGGATCAGCTGCTGTAGCTGGTTCCCCGGACAAGCTCGCTGCACCCATCTGGGCGCTGTCGTTGATCGCGGGCCACCCGCTGACCAAAGACAACGCCCAGCTGGGTGCAGCAAGCGTCGTGCCTGCACATGCTCCACACATCGCGCCTGTGCCTTCGCCCGCGCTGCACGCCCTGAGCCATTAACAACTCCCCCCCTATATGCCGATTCCCCCGGCGCTCCGAATTACGGTTAGCTGCGAAACGCGCGGAGAACTCATCTTCGGGCGTTGCGCCTCAAAGCACACGCGCCCGGACCGACAGCGCCATGATCGAGCGCCAGACCGCCTCGCCCGACTCCCTTGCGCCGGACGGCCAAGTGCCCCTGATTGAACAGTGCCGCCCCGGACCACGCCCTTCGAGGCTCGGTCGGTTCTGCGCTCGCTCTGGCACCACAGAGTTCGCACGAGAAACATGCTCGGGCGGAAGTGCGAAGGAAGGCGGCTGGAGAGGAGAGGGATGGAAGGACAAGGGAGAATCGGCGCTCGGGGGGGAGAAGGCGTAGCTACGCTGCTCGGCGTGTCAGACCAGCAGCAAGTATCAAATTCCGACCCCCCCCCTTCCCTATCCCCCACTTTCCTCCGGCCCGACTATATAGACTGACACGTTTGTGCATATATATATATATATATACATACATACATACATACGTACACACATACATGTGTATAGATATATACACATATGTATAATCACATGAACATGTATGCATGCATAGTTGTAACGGGCAAACTTCACTACAACACGTGAAATCCATAAATACGTAGTGTATGTTGACAGCGTTGAGCTCGCCAACTCCGCTGCTCGTACAAGCATCCCGCCCTCCCACCCACAACTTGCTGGCAAAGCTCATCTAGCCATGATCTCAACGAGCGCACAGGCGCGTGGAGCTCGACCGCGCAGACAAGTCCGCCCAGCAAGTCGCGAAATGGTGGTGGCGATGGCGACCATCTTGCAATGACGTGATTGAATAGGGGGGCCACAGCGGAGATGAAGCCAGCCCCTCTTCTTGGCCGCTAGATCGACTAAGTGCTTACCCTGTTCCGACGAGACGCTTCCTCGTCCGGGATGCCAGCTGCGTCGAGCTCTTGATGAGCCGCGACCTATACTAATCCCTGACACTTCCGGGGCGCCTACGTACAGACAACATGCACAGAACAATGCACAACAACACAAGGCAAAATATCAAAGATCCGCACTGATATTTTGCGCAAGCCCTCGCGGCGCGCGGAGGGCGCCGGGGGGCGGCGCCCAGGAGTGCCAAGAGGGCGGCCCAGCGCCAAGACGAGAGGTACGCGCAGACTTCCGACAGATACCGTCCGTTCCCTTCGGCACGACGACAAGCGAGGGGGGAGGAACACCTGCGTGGTTCGAAGCGGAGTCGATCCCCGCGCCGCACCCGCGGCGGCGGGCCCTCTCAATGTAGAGGAGGAGGCGGACCCAGAAATCCAACATCTCGACTTGCTCAACACGGGGCCACTGGAAGTCCCGACCCTGTCCGTAGGACCCCCCCCCGACTCCCTAGGGAGATGAAGGTGCGAAAGATTGCCTTTCAACGTGCCCTCCATGTCACCCGGGGTTTGCTCGCTCCCTCAGCGAGAAGGCCGGCCAAATAAGCAAGAAATATGATAGGTGGTTTTTCATCCTGAGCAGTCTTTTCCCGGCGAGAGCCTCCGGCCCAAAGGCCCTGCACCAGAACCGTGTCGAGCAATAGGCGTCGCAAGTGGGCACGAAAAGACTCGCGTGCGTAGGGGAAGCCTCCAACAGGAGTCTCGGCACGCGGGCGGCCGGCACGCGTCTTCGCACGCTTCGGGCCACCACGGGGCCGCAAGCGAGGAGCCCAACTTGCAGGGCAGCGAATTCCCTGAACGTGGAAAAAAAGGCAAACACAGAAAAAAAAGAATAAACAACAACAACAACAACAACAACAACAACAACAACAACAACGACGACGACTACGACGACGACGACGACGACAACAACGACGACGACGACGACGACGACGACGACGACGACGACGACGACAACAACAACAACAACAACAACAACAACAACAACAACAACAACATATATGCATATACATACATATTAGAACTTATATGTTAAACTAAAATAAACACAAAAGAAGAAGGACAAACAAACAAAAAACGTGCGCGGAGGTGCGCGGAAGGGGGAGGGGGGAAGGGCCCACATGCCCCCGGCGCGTGCGCGCGGGGCACGTGCTCACGCGTCCTCCGCGGGGCCCCAGGGGCACCCCAGTTCGGGGGACGCGCGCGGAGGGGGGGGGGACGCCAACGGCGGAGCCTGGCGCGCGCGCCCGCGCGGAGCACGTGCTTTCACCAGGGGGCCACACGCGAACCCTGCCCCATACCCCGCACGATTTCTGATGGGGGAGGGTGGGGTTCACGTCGTTCGGGAGCTCCCGAGCGGAGTGAACCCCACCCTCCCCCTCTCGGAGATCGTGGGGGGTGGGGGTAGGGTCCGCGCGTGGCCCCCTATTCGCTCGCTTCGGGCCACAGCGGGGCCGCAGGCGAGGGACACCGACACCGTTTGCAGATGCTGCATTTCTCTGCCGCTGCACAGGCGTGCGCGGAGGAGGGGGGGCCCAACATGCCACTGGCGCGCGCGGGGCGCGTGTTCTCGCGTGTCCACAGGGGGGGGCCAGGGGCACCCAACTTGGGGGTGGGGATTTCTTGGCGCGTAACAATACGGGCGCAGAGGGGGAGCCAGCATGCGCGTGGCGCGCGTGCGGGGCATGTGCTTCCACGCGTTTCGGGCCAAGACGGGGCCCCAGGCGAGGGACCCAACTTGGGGGTGCCGCAGTCTTCGCATGTGAAAATACGTGCGCGTGCGAGGAGTGGCGGGGGCCAACATGCGCCTGGCAGGTGACAGGCGTCGCCGTGCAGGAGGGGGCGACGATGAGGAGGAGGAAGGTGGAGGCAGGAAGATGATGAGGAGGAGAGGGAAGGAGAAAGGAGGAAGGAGCAGGAAAGATGAGGAGGAGGAGGAGGAGAACGGAGAGAAAGAGGAGGGGGAAGAGGGTGGGAGGAGGTGGAGGAGGGGGAGGAGGAAGAGGAGGAGGAGGAGGAAGCTGGAAGGAGGAGGAGGAGGAGGAGGATGAGGAAGAGCAGGAGGAGGAGGACCAGGAACAGGAGCAGGAGGAGGAGGAGCAGGAGGAGCAGGAGGAGGAGGATAAGCAGGATGTGCAGGCGGTAGCAGCTGCAGGCAAGCAGATGGAAAGTGTCGCACGCGCGTCAGAAGAGAGTTTGACTCCAGCTCCTTACTCGTTTCGTGATTCCCTCAAGCCGGACGGC